GCTATTTGTTAATACAAGGCTTCTCGTGGTCGGTTGTCTTCTCTTCTTTTCCCGCGCTGGCCTTGGGAAGAAGAGTAGGGCAAGCCCACAATTACGAGTGCCAGGCGCGGATAATGAAATTTCAGCGATTGTCGACATAAAGCTGTTATCGTACTAAGGGGCGACTGTCAATGTGGAAGGGGGGTGAGCCGTTAATTCTCCCTGTTATGCGGTAACATAGCGACTGCAACTTCCGGATCTCATCATGGCTTCGAGCTGCAATCGGAAACTTCAAACGAGTAAAGTTCTTGTTTCAGTGCTCGTGTATACTTCTTCTACCATTGTGTCGCGGGCCTGTCCTGTTCTGTCGGTAGTGTTTGGGTATTTTCATCAATCAGGTTACGGACTGGCTCCTCTCGTTGCGCCTTTGGGCTCAGTATATAGTACTTGCAAGCAGTAATCATTAAGAAGCGCTTTCTAAAATACAATGTACACTGTCTGGCCGCCAGCACTGTTCATACCCAGCTAATTTTTCAATGATGTTTGTTGTCCTACGTTTAAATCTATAAACTGCTCAATGTTCGTAATTAAACTTTCCATGTTTGCTAGTTCTGTACTTTCAGCCTTAAGCATTTGTCCGGGAAGCAAAAGGCGGACCAGACGTCGTGTTTGCAACCGCTCTAATTAGCCTAAATGTCAGAGACAGTGTATGTGTTGTGGTCGTAATGGGTCCTTCCTTTAGGGATGCATAAGTAACTGCTGTTCCTGAGTCCCATTATATGATTTTCCACTAGCACTTGAGTTTGATCAAGAAGATCCACTTAATTGATACTTGTTGAACGGTTGCAGTCCCTAGGCAACGAACCTCGAAGAGACGGATCATAGCTCAGGCTTTCGTTCAACACATACACTAGCCAGTAGCATGAAGCCTAGGTTATCTTCCTCGACTCCTCTATTCAGAAACCTATGCATTCTGCCGCTCTTTGTGAGGGTCATTTCCAGCCCATAATCTGAAAAGTAGCCGCCTCGCTCAGAGCTTGCATTGCGAGAAAGCACGTAGTACTCTGTTTCGTCAAATTAACATTGACTCTACTAGGCCAAATATTCGTAAGTAAATCTGCTCCATGTCTCATGCCTTCTGTTGGCTAGGGTTACTTGGCATTTATTCATTTGTGGAAGCTTTTTTTCTGTCCCTTTGAATCGTCTTGCAGACCACCTAGATCCGGCTTTCCTTGTGATTTCCTTCTTTTTTCCTCCACTTCATTGCTCGCGACAATCGGCATAGTTATTTAAACAAAATCTCTACCAATATTCGGGCTGTTCCTAAGTACACATTTAGTGAATACTAACGTTCGCTGCGACTGTCTAGTCGAAAATGACTTCCTTTTGAGTCTCCACTCTCTCTACTATTGTCTGTATGCAAAAAAGAGTGCGAAAGCCGACTGATCTTTTACAGGTTAGATGCGCACGTCTTTTTTCGCATAGACCACCCAGGTTTTGTGCTCAACCTTCAGGCTTTAAAAACCACATTTTTGAATATATCTAATCCCCTAATTGTTCGGTCTGTTATTTGATTTTGATAGGCAAGTGTATCGCCTGCACTAGTCAATCCACCTTCTTCAGTATCAGCGCTTCCTCACTTACTTCGAAATGGGTTAGTTCCGAATTCTGAACTTTGCTAAGCACACTTTTTTTTTCAAAAGTCCGATATGTTTTCTTGGTGTTAAGCTAAATAGATTCACATTTGTGAAATCTACCAATGTCCTATTGGTTACAGGATCTTGGAGACGATGCCGGGAAGGACTTAGTGACTACTATTGACACCTATGATTTGCGCACCGCCCCATCTAGACAAAAAGTGATTCTTTGAAACGGGAGAAGGCCCAACTCTAGATAAACATTTGTGAGTGATCGAGAATCGGAAAGGTTTTCTGGCGACGCCACCTTTCTTCTTTTACGAATGGTGGTGGTGTGATGGAGGCGAGAACCCGAACACTCGTACGACATATGAGGGCTCGGCTGGGGTCTCGTTTAAGGTTTGGGCCAATAAGCACATGGTTCTGCGATTAATTGTACACTTTATTTCCCACGTGTGGTCCACCTATTAAACAAACCTCCGCAACTGATTCGCAGCCCATTGTGTCTGATATGCACCACTCGCCCCACCTTAACCGAAGGGCGCTTGAAAATCCCGTTATCTGTCGGACAATAAGTAAGTTCCCTATCCATATATCACTTGCTCTCATGCGATTGCTGTAAACCGATCTACCACTTGACTCCTGACGTGACGGAGACTGATATGGGTTGCATAGATCTTCATTGTCGCCCAGTGCGACTTCCACATTCTATGGCTTTCGACCCAGAACTGGACCCTAGGATCTCGCTTTTGATAAAATAACGTGAAACTTTTCTTGCAATAGGCACTGGCCAGAAACAGGAATATATTTATAGGGAATACCTATTCTCCTATTTATTACTGGTAAACGTTAGGACTGCGAGATACGCGTATTTCTGGGTCATTACCCATCGTCAGTCGCAGTTACCTGACTCCAGTATAGCCACAGAAACTGCCGCTACACTCGAGTTTTTAACCTGTTCCCACTTTCAGCCTCCCTTACCAAAACCTTCTCTTCTAGGTTGGAGACGGTGAGAAGATGGTGCGTGCGCTCTTTACGATTGCGCGTATCCACCAGCCAGCTGTTATCTTTATTGACGAAATCGACTCCCTACTCTCCCAGCGTAGCGATACGGAACACGAGTCCAGTCGCCGAATAAAGACGGAATTTCTGGTTCAGTTGGTAAGTCCACCATATTATGCTACCTTAGAGGAGCTCGTGGTCGAGCACGCCTATTTTAACGCAAGTAATGTGATTTTTACCACGAGTGTCTTTGTGGTGACAACCCTTCCAGTATGAAATTAGTTTTGCTGGCGTAAATCCTTGCAACACCGTGGTTGACACTGCCGCAGAATGTATACTATTTTCAGCAGTCCAGTTTGACTTTACGACGCTTG